TCCTCTACTCCAGGATAAGCTATTGACGTACAGGTCATTAGCCTAGGCTAGTCTAGGCTATTCATCATGACCTCGTCTTACACAATTAGTGTCAGAACGTACTGGAAGGCAGGGGTCACAGCCAATAGGGGATGGACGCGTGGCGTATGATATCACATCGAAGACAGAGAAACCGCATGACGTTGTTGACACGCGACTTGGGAAAGCAAACTATTAATTACACCATTCCCTTGATGAAACCGCATTCAATGCGGTAAGGCTCGAAAATGAAAGGCAATAAATGCTCCTAATACAGAGCATTTATTGCATCCTCCCCGAGAGGAGTAAATTGTACCGTCGGCATCCCGATGACACAGTATTAATTGCTCAGGACCCCGAGCAGTTAAGAAGAGAAGACATTCCTCATCGGAATCAGTGCGCACACTACCTGTACCTAATGATCACCTACTAACTACACTGATAGCAATCATGAGCTTTTGAGGTATAAATACTCCTTGCAAAAGGCAAGACGGGTATGCAAAAAAAAAACTCTTTACTACAATACACACTCAGTGTTTTCTCCTTCCTCTCTCTTTCTCAAAGACTGACTAGATCGTCGGAGGGGATACGCCGGAAAACACTCCGGCGCCCTTCTAACTTGTTTTTCTTTGTTCCAGGAACCTCTTTCAGCCTTACTAGATCGTTCTTCCGCTCCCCCAGGGTCTCCCGTCGCCGTTCCAGGTTACCACCGGACCTTGCAGGCTGTTCCAAGCAGCGTGATTGGTCACTCAACTGGCTCACTCGAGTTCACCAAGAGAGAGATCTGCTCTCGTTTTTATATTGTGCAAGATCTTGCACGCACATTTACACCAATAGTTGTTCCATATGATGCACGAAATCTCAATTTCTTGGCATTGTCATCCTACCCACAACCCTTATCATCACCCTTGCTCCTACGCCACCCCACCTTACTTTTGTTGGACAATTAGCTATTGATTTTACTAAAATGATGTTTGTGGTTACATGGCCACGAGGAAGGATTTAACTGGAAGAGAAGTATGCATTTTTATTAAATAATTCAAAATTAGGAGAATTTAGTACTTGTAGAAGGAAAAAGACTTCTCAAACTGACTCTTCTCTAAATTGATTGTTATAGTGTATAGCATTGTAAAGCATAGTATGTAGATACTTTAATTCACATTTAAAATTATCACTATCTTTAGTAACAAATTCATATTTATGCATTTTTTTTCCTTAAAAATTAATTTAGTGCATTAATAAATATTTCTTCAATAATGTTCAAGTGAGGTGAGGGTGGGGTTAGGGGTAGAGGAGTTAATCGAATCAAGCTTGAGTCCAAATTTATCGAGCTCGTTTTTTTAAACGAGACTAAAAAATTGTTTAAACTGGGCTTGTTTAGAAAATGAGTCGAGCTCGAGTAGCTCACATATTTTACATATAAATAAGTCGAGTTTTGTGAGTTCAAGCTGAACTTTATTAGGCTTATTTTTTTAAACGAGCCTAAAAATTTGTTCAAGTTTAACACATTTAAAATATGAATCGAGCTTAAGCCGAACCCGAATAACCTGTGTCGATTAACACCCCTAGTTAGGGGTGAGAGTGTGGTCCGGGGTAGCGAGTGACAGCAGAGAGAGCTTATCACACAAGACTGGCACTAGTAATCAAATGTAGCTAAGTTTTCTAAGTCCATTTTTACCATTGACTATAACAGGCAACGCTTTTGAATTTGAACATCCTGTGAATGTGATTGTGAACAAATTCTACCCTTTTAGAATTTGTTCATTCTTCTCCATAGTGTTTGCATCAACGACTAAAAACTGTAGTCCTACACGAGACTCTGTCAAAGTTTAGCGAGGGTTATATGTATACAACGTTATTTTTTTCAATTTGTATGGTACTTTGAATATGTCATTGGTATAACACTTCTCATTAATAAAAATAGAACTGCATGTATTCAAATACACGATGGATGGATGATCGATTATTAAAGAAAATAAAGAAAACATGGAGTAGAGTATGTCTAGATCTCATAAGAGATGCCCTAGTTGATACAACACATAAGGTTTACAGGTAACCAAACATGTAGTTAGGACGTTTCTCGGTTATTTAAAAGAACAAAAACAATAATGTTAGTAAGGGCGTTGTCCTTCATAATTCCCTGGAGGATCATAGTTACAAGTCACAAACACCCACCCATTATGACATTGAACCCTAGCACACCCAAGATGAACAGAATCTGCCCAAACAACTTGAGTATAGTGCAAGCACTCTCCACCAACACATGAATTAGAACTGTAATCATAGCATGACTTCTCCCCCACCCACATGCTCACTGCGTCGGCTGCCTTTAAATCGCCATATCCCTCTGCAATGTTCTCACCATAAGGCCCTTCTGAATGCTCCAAGTTGCAATCACCAATCCTCTTGTTAGCGTAGTTTTGAGCGTAGGCCGATACTGTGTCGTTCCATACTAGAGGTCGGACCCCGACTTGTGCCCTAGCCTTATTGTGTGCATCAAGGAAGTCCTTCTGGGAGTTTTGGGCTTGGGAGAGATGAGCCAGGGTTAAGATGATCATAGAGTGTACTAAGTGTAATGAAAACTTGGAGAGCCCCATTTTCATTGATGTTTTGGTGCAAAATGGGAGATATGATTCTAAAGGGTATAGGAGGATACAACATATTTATAGGGCGTATCGAAGACTTGCAAAATCATTGATGTTTTTAGTCCTTAAAGTATGCTAAATCACGAGTTGTTTCTACAATAATTCATACAATGAAAAAAGATGTGCACCCTTTTTAGTAGGCGTGATTAGTGTAAGCTTGTGACATTATAGTTTTTCGTCAAACTTGTTCAGTTTATTCAACAATACAGAACACTCTTTAGAGACTTGTAGCTTTCATTTGATGGCGCTGATTTTTATGATCAAGTCTTCAACTTCTTTTGTTCATCGACCCGTTTGTTTCAACGAACTTTTAATTTCCGAGGTGAGGATTCAAGGATTTAAAACTCAATGCTAGTAACTTTTTTGTCGAAGTAAAAAAAAAATGGGTTGTTTTAATAGCATTTTTTGTCTTTAAAATATGTAATTTTTGTCAGTTTAGTCGTTAATGTATCAATTGTGTTAATTTGATCTTTAAAGTATTTAATTCATGTCATTTTGGTCCCTATATAGACGAACTGTTAAGTTTTTAACAGAATAACTATATGTTGAGCATGTGATATTGTCTAAAAAAATGACACGTAGGCCACTTCTGTCAAAAAATTTAACGGCCGGTCTACGTGAGAACCAAAATAACACGAATTGAATATTTTAGAGACTAAATTGATAATTGATATATTGAAGACGAGACCAACGGGCTTTTGGTTCAATAGTACTCCTTACCTGATGAAGACTTTGTCTTCTTGAGTTCAAGTCCCCCCTCCCCCTCCCCCTACCAAAAAAAAAATATATATTGAAGACTAAACTAACAAAAGACACATAATTTAGAGATTAAAAGTGTTATTAACAAAAAAAAAATGTATCACTTCTATCTTATGGCTAACACTAAGAATAAACAAAAAAAATCGGTGCTAATTGTCCACCAGGAGGGCTGGAGCTATTCCACATCGGATAGCCTTGGGGTTGTGTGTGTATAAGGCCCTTTCCCACTTACACTTTTTAATTGTACGTTTCAAAATAGTTCAATCTATAAAAAAAAAAAAACTCTAAGAATAGGCATAATATTGTATGCTCTATCAGTAGAAAATGACAGGTTCACATGCCTCCCAAAGCGCATCAATAGAGAGTATACGAGTCAAAAAGATAAAAAGAAATGTGTCCTAATGTAGGTCCCAACATTTAAGTACGCACTCATTTTGTTTGTTTCTTACACAGGAATTGGGACCCTTATGTGGGTCCCACATATAGATAAATATACAAAAGCCACATTATCTGCACTTCAATGAGTGCCATATGCCATGAGTTTCGGCACAATAAACTCTTATCACCGAGAAATTATTCAATACAAACGTGATAATACCTTATCTCCCTGCTTGATTATTCATAAAATTATGTCAATTTGTCAATGTCACGTAATATAATTGTTTATTAAAATAAATAAATAAAAATACAATTTTTTACATATAGGTGATTATATGTTATGTCAATTGTCGGTTATTAAATTTTGTAAGATTTATTTGTTCGCTTGTTTACTAATTAATGGACGATTATATCACCCGACAATGTTGTTGTCAATGCTTTATCCCTTTCATTACATGAACTTTTGGACTTTCGATCCTCTGTGTATTGAGACCGAAACCCGTGAGTTACGATATGATAGGGAGGCAATGTCACGCCATTAACGGAAGATTTTCTGCCCCCAATGAATGATTTACTGCGCCATTTAACAGAATATTCCTAGTTTAATCCATTAGTAACATATTCAAAGTTAGATTTAATTTTATTTAAATATTCAGGTTTTCATCAAATCATGACTCTTAGAAAGTGAGTGAAATCATCTCTAATATATATATATATATATATATATACTAGTCATAATCCGTGTCTGAAGACACAATAAAACAAAAAAATTGAGTCTTAAAAAATCGATATCACTATATTAAATAATATTTTTTCTTTCTTTCTTTCGTTTGATTAAATCATTCAAAATTTATTTTTACCTGTTATTTTCTTAAAGATATTGACAAATTTTCTCAAAATATGTAATTTGATATTTTTTTTTTAATAGATATATACTATCATGTATGAATAATATCTGAAATAAAAATTATATTAAATTATAAATTAATCAAATATTAAATGGTTGAACATGCGATAGATATGAGTGATGTGATGGTTTTGGGGGATGGGAGGATAAAATTCAACCTCCTGTGTGTTTTATTATATAGATTTATATAGATATAAGGAAAATTTTTATTCAGATCCTCTGTAATTAGGTCTAAATTCAATGACACCTCCTTCCGATTTTAAAATTTCACTGTCACTCCTATTATTGATTATCAGATTACACCGTTAATGGCGGTGGTTGATTTATAGAAATATCCTCAAGTATTTTATAGGGTAAATTTTATCTACACCATTTATAAGTAAACCTAACGTTAACAACATTCTCTGTAAATAGACTTAACTTTAACAACACTCTTTTTTTATTCTAAAATTTTAATACACTTCATTTTAGTTCTATTATATTAACATTTATTTTCATCAATTTAATATTTAATTTTATCAAATTAATTTTTTTTATTTAATTTAAACTAAATTAACATTTCATCTCATCAAATCAACAAAAAATTAATATTTAATTTTATCAAATTAGAATTTAGTTATATTAATTTAATATTTCGTTTCATCAAATTAATATTATTTTTTTAATTTAATATTAAGTTATTATTTATTTTTATCAAATCAACATCAAATTGAAATTCAATTTTATTAAATTAAAATATTTAATTTATTAAATTCCATTAATTTAAAATTTAACCTTATCAAATTAATGTCATTTCTTTAATTTAACACCAAATGAACATTTAGTTTTATTAAAACAACATTCAAATTTATTCAATTAACATTAAATTCAATCAAATTAATAATAAATTAATACTTAATTTTATCAAATTAAAAATAAATTAATATTTAAATTTATCAAAATTAAGATCAAATTTATTCAATTAATATTAAATTTTATCAAATAATTTTAAATTTTATATATGAAGTATGATGTGTGAGGAGCGGTGGGGTGACATTGTGAAGGAAATATGATAGTAGAGGAATTAGAAATGGATGAGATTTTGATATTGACTTTATCAATTTTTATTTTTATTATTGAAAAATTATTTTTAATTATAAAAACTTGATTATGTAACCAAATAAATAATAATATGATGACTAATATTATAACAAAGTTACAATACAATGTTTAAAATAAAAAATTCATTAAAATAATATAATGATTGAAATTACGTGGTGTTTAAATGAAACTTTTCCTAAGATATAACATGTAGATATAATATGTCTTCGTTCTTTATACTATATATATGTAGAGTAAAGATGTGTATTTGATATGAACAGTAAAGATAGAGAACAGCTGTATTATGATAGAATTTTAGGGAAACATGTGTCTCAGTTTGAAAAGAAAAATATGAAAGATGAGAGTATGAGAGACCGTCAATGTCTTAGTATAGAAAGTGATCCCTTAACATAGAAAATAAAATCAGAGAAATAATTATAAGAGTTGTAATTTGTATTTTAGGGAGAGAGAGAAAGAGTTGAGGAATGAGAGATCGCTTAATTGTCGGATTTGATTCGGTTAGGGAATTAAATTTAGGGATGTTAGTTTTAGAAACTAAAAGTTTTGAGCTGGCAAAAAATTTTCAAGAGCTAATATAGTATGTCGAACTGAAACGATCAGAGACGTCAATAGCTTGAGACAGTTTGAAATATCGTCGGCCGTTGGATGATGTTTTTTTTGATCTTGAAACGATCTGAACCGCTCTTTGTCTCTTGAATTCAAAATCGTTCTATTTTATATATATATATATATATATATATATATTATTTTATTATTATTTTTGATAAATCACAAGATATGAATTTAAGTTGGATCAATTGTATAATAATTTATCAAATAATACAAAAAACTAGAAAAATGACGTATCTAGTGCATGAGATTTTCACTAGTACCGAGTCTGTAAAGGATTAAATATACGCGATCTTATCTCTACAAGCAAAGAGATTATTTTCATGACTCGAACTCACGAGTCCTTGATCTCTAAATTACAATGGAACAACCTTAATATTGCGTCAAAACCCACCCTCATTTGAATCCATTAAAAGCATGTTAATTTTTATATAATTAAGTCATCCACAGTTAATGGATTTGTAAATGTCCCCACTCCATGTCAAATTCGGAATGTTCAAATTTCTGATTACCCATAATTTTTTATCCTATTTTCCCCTAACTGAAAAATCAGGTAGAAATGCAGCAAATTTTTTTGTCTTTCAATCAAATTTTCATATTCCTACCTTGTCCTACTCGCATATATATATATATATATATATATATATATATATATATAAACTAAAAACCCTAATTTCCTAACGGCTCGCCGCCTCCTTAGTACCTCATTTGTCTCACCTCTCTCTCGACCTCTCTTTGAACAATTCTACCTAAAATAATTGTTATTATATTTGTGCAACAAGTATGATGGATCGATATTTATGCCTTGGACTTTTTTGTGTTTTATTGTAATTGTTATAAATTTTAGTATTATTGATTTATTGTGTTGTTAAATTGGTGCATGTTATTTAATTGAATTATTAAAATGATCCAAAAATTAATAACTACAAAACGTGTTCACCCTATTTTTACCCGACTTCCTATCTAATTAATTTGGAGAAAAATTGAATAGAAATACTACATTTGATCAGGTATGACTGATCATGAAAAAATTCTTCCACAAAGTATCAGGTAGAAAGATAAAAGACCATATTTCCTACCCATAGGGTAAAGTGAACACCCCTAAATTGCCAATAGACCCAATAAAATTCACCAGTAAAACACACTAACATTAAGACGGAATATTGAACTCGATCAACTCAATTCTACAAAATCTTGTCTGAACATTTTTTTAGGGTCGACTACATGCATCATCTTTTACCATTGTGCACAATATTTACTTCGACCAACTTTGACAAAATTTAGATTTAAAATTATCCATATAAATTCTTAATCGAGATTTAACTTCTCTTCAATATATTTTTTCTCATTTTCTTCCAAAATATTAACCAAGTAAAAAATTCATTGTTTCCCAACTGTTTCAAATTGTCCATTTGAATTTCAGTGATGGCTAACAAAGTACAATCTGATTCTAGTCACCTCTAGCTTAAAAGCCATACAATCTAAAATTCTATAAAAATATGTGTATTTATCGCTACGGTGAAAAACACCACATCTATATTAATAGAAAAGAGTATGCTTAATACAGCTACAAACCATGACGACGACGGAACATGAATTACATACAACCTAAAAAGAGAGCAATTCCCAAGTAAAGATTAGTAACAATAACCTCTCAGTTCGGAACCTTGAAGTTGTTTAGATGTGCTATGAACAAGTCATTCCAAGTATCGGTAGTTCCTGGAAGGCACCAATGCATACAATCATCGTGTTTCTTTCCACCGGCTGTGGATGGATGGGCATCTGCTCTGAATTCACTCATGTGGGTTATGTCCAACATATGGAAGCGAGATGATCCTTTAAGGGCCTTGAACAAGTGCTGGTTCACAAGGCGCGCCTCCACGTTTGTTCCATTATTTTTCAAAGAGAAAAGTTCTTCAACCTACAAAAATAGCAAAACATTAAACCAGAACATGAGTTTATAGAATATGATTTCCCCTCGAATTGCAAAAAATTACATTATTTGATAAAACGATAATCATAGGAAGAGACTGACCTCTTGTGGTAACAAAGGCTGTAAATGTGGACAAGAACCACCTTGGTCCCAGTCACCACCTTCAAAATGTCTTGGAGATTGTGTACGAAAAAATGCAATGGTATTCGGTTGGGTTCTTCCCTCCACAAACGATATCTGTTATTGAAAGGCATCTAAAAACTGAGCAAACATAAACAACAAACTTCTAAAAATGTACAGATACAAAAACTACTATAGTACTATTGCTGTCAGGATAGGTCATCTAATGATTACTGCATTTTCACTTAATAGGTACATAAATTTCGAAATAAGATATTGTGGATAGTTTCAAAATTACGATAGTACATCTCTCCATTATCTTGTTCTTAATGATTGCATTGGTACACAACGTAAATCCTCAAAAGATACCTCCCTCTCAACACCCCCCCCCCTTAAAAAAAAAAAAGGGCAGGGCCTGACCCCTTCATTTTCTGTTCTCTATGTTTGACCATGTCAAAATTCTTACAGTGATTGGATATGAAAATTAACTGATGCTAGAAATTTAAACTGAACAAGTATTCTATATCTTGCACATAAGGAAAACAAGTTGGGACCAAACATAGGCATTGCAGGAAGCCAACATAGTAACATCATATATAGAGCTAATCTGGAATACTTAATATCATCCTGATATTTAGACAATAATTACAAACAAAAATTTCTTAGAGTATCAACCAAACACTTTTGGCGCCAATAATCTTCAGAGAGAGCAGATCAAGCATAACCTCCATCTGGCTCAATGCTTCTAACCAATATCACATATATTTTACACTATCATGTCAGATATTTCTTCAAAAAATAATACTACATCGCCATCTACTAAAACAAAAAAACTATAGCATCCTTCCATGCAACTCTAGACCTCAAGTAGTAGCAACAAAGAACTATGCATTCCATCCATAAATGGCATTGTGCATCCTTCAAAGTATCAAGAAAGCATACATGGACCAGTAGTGCAAAGATATTTGAAGCATAAATTTATCGGATGCAATGTGATTTGTTATTGAGGAGCATTTCTATGTCTGATTCAGAAATTTAGACACACACACACACAGATGTCTTACCATGTGCTTTAAAACCATATCAAGACCAGCATCAGGAGGTATTGTAGGCACCACTGGCTGGCCCTTCTCAAAGAAAAGCATAGGTGATTTTACTGGGTCAAATTTTGAAGGGGCCCACCACCTTGAATAAGAGCCGAAACACCAAATAAGGAGTTAGAAACTCAGAATAACCTTCCGGTTTATAAGAAGTCTGTCAAAGTATCAAGATGAACAAATTCAGAGCGCCAAGGGAACAGACACAACTAAAGTAACTACTGACATATATCACCTATTAATGAGAAAATTCGTTAGGTCATATATCTCTTGGGTGAAATGGTAACCCCTTGCTCCCATTTTGGAGTCTCATAGGTGAATTAGAACAACAGGAAGAACGTGTCAGTCACTTTGACACCAGAACATGGAAAATTTACCGATCAGACACACATTTCTCTACTAAAGTAGTAGATTCACAATAAACTCCTTCGTTGCCACCCAAAGGGCTCCCAGTATTAGATAAAATCTCCGACCCAATTTACTAAAAATTTAGTGACATGCATACATCTTAGGTCTTCACATAAAAAAAAAAAGTGAGAAGGAAATCAAAACAAATATATTCAGAGTATAAATTATCGTGCCAGCAATGTATATGGTTCCAAGATGAAATAATGTACCAGTGTCCAGTGTTAAAGATGAGAATATCGTGGAAACTAGGAGCCTCTGCCCAAGTTCCTTCGGGTATGTCAACATCAACTCTATAACCCTCCTTATATCTGAGAGATTCTAGCACACCACCGTTGGCATTGGCTGACCACCTACAGATTATAAGAAAGAAGTAAGCCTGTGTTAAACATGCATACAATAGATGAAACAATATCATGGCATCCCTCGTAGACACCAAAGGATAAGACAAACATGCAAAATTTGTCCCAACAAGATATCAGCAATTAAGATCTACACAATCCCACATAAAGGATACTCAGGATAGCATGGATTCAAAGAGTAAAAATAACATCCACTGTGACTCCTCATTAAGATTCTAATGTACTTACAATGAAGATTTTATAGCCATATATGACTCATTGAAAGGAAATTTATATATCCAAAACAATCTAAGAAACAATAATCATTTTGTCAGACAGACTCAATGACAAATCAAATTTCTAGTTACTTTTTGGGCACAAATCACTAAGGAGTTTGACAACATAGCCCTTTTCGGCATTTTGGGGAGCTGGTCTGCTGTTTGTAGTTGCTAGAAGTTTCTTATTTTATGCTTCCTGTCTATGTAGGACTGTAATGTTTGTTTTTTGTTAGGTGTGGAATACTTGCTCTCACTTTGTAGTACTTATTTCTTATTATTAATAAAATCTTTGTTACTTATCCAAAAAAAAAAAATTCCTTAACACAAAGGTGCTCTTGGAATACATCCGTGAAACAACTTGTTCTTCTCTGCAAGCAATGTCTGATTACTCCAAGCACATGAACTTGGACCATCATGCGTACAGATATAACTTGGATCATTGAAAAAGAAAAGGAACACACTCTTCACTTTCTATACCAATAAAATCACCCCTACTCAACTTACAAGACATGAATTTACAAAAATAATTGTCAAATAAAAGTACAAATGGAGAACTATCAACTACTGAGAATAGAAGAGCTGCCCGATCTAAGAATTCTACATTATGTGAGCTCATCCATAAAATCCCTCGGTATAAAAAGCACATAATAGGCCAGCGATCCATAAATTGTCTATCTAGGTCCTGGATGATTAAACTATCATCATGATATTTAGACAATCAGATCTTCAACATATTACACATGGTTTTGCAGTCATTAAGAAGTTTTGTCCATTCAAAAGCAAATGACCTATTAATGCAAAAGCAAGTAGGGATTTGTGGAGGGAGAGAAGGGGCATAATATATAATTGCAGATCCTCTCTCAGTCTCACATTTAAACGCCTTTTCTGAAATCCAATCTTTGAAGGGAGGAACATTTAAAGCATTCACATTTCACAGGAGTAGGAGAGTAACTCTAAAATTAACCTCAAAAATTTAACGATCACTAGCTATGTAACTTCCAACCACATATGAAAGAAGGGTGGCATAAGAACTTCAAGGATTTAGACCCCACGCCAAAAGAGGAAGTTAAGAGAAATAGACCATGGACTTTTCAAAACAGAAATGTTTTTTCAGAAGGAAATGGAAAGAAAAACAACCAGTAGGGATGGAGTATGTTTATAATCTTCAAAGCTTGCAGTGTCTCGGTCACAAAAAAGCTAAAATATCTGATGAGAACCTCTTACAAGGATTTGAAGTTGAGAACATAAAGTATTAATCCATGTGCATATATCAAGTTTCAAAACTTCCACTCCCACCATACTGCAGTAGAGAATCCAGTCCATTTGCCATACCAATTCTTTGAAAGTTAGATAATTAAGCACACTTCCCCGAAATACAAGTATAAGTTGGTTGGAAGGACCTGATGACTGCTGCACCCAAATTTACTTCAAAAAAAAAAAACTAATGGAAACATTTATTGAAAAGTGTAATAAACTCCAGTAATTAATTAAACCAATGATAAACACAATTATGTGTAGCACCTAACTGCTCTATCCAAGTAAACCAAGCAAAGAAAGACAAGAAGGAAACATATAAGTGCTGCAAGTATAAATATCAGTGTTTTAGTTAACACAATCCTCTAGAACATTATTATGACGAACATAGCTTACCTACCATAACGAGCCAAAAGGTTTGTGCGATGATAAGCAATTGTAAGGTTGTACTGAAGAAATGTAAACCCACGGTCGGCCCCAGCAGGACGCCACTTTCTCACCTCACTCGATACTCGTTTCAAAGTGCAGAAAAGTGCGACAAACATGTTCCTATTCAAGGAGTCACCCACGAACCCTGTACTGCTACAGATTTATTAGGTCTCCACATAACATAATAGCAATGTATAAACAGATAAAACGTCACAAAGAACCCGTGTTTGTCAGCCATATAATCATAAGAATATAAACAATATCAGAAAGATGTTGAAAATTGAAAATAGAAAAAGAAAAAATTCAAGTTTTCTCTTTTCCCATTTATTAATTTCTATAGAATATAAGATCATAGCGAATTATATACACTTCAGAACAAAATTAGGTTAACATTGATGTATAATAGAAATAAAACTACGCAATTTAACATGGATATTTGCGAAAAATAGCAACGCCATAGTGAACACTTGTCTCAGAGAAACACGAATAGTGGCAAAAAACATGAGATTTCATAGCATACCACCATAAAGATAGTCTTTTTGTATCATAATGAGGTCTGAAACAATTAAACCCCAAAGATTTCGGATTATAAGTTTCTTTCTTTTCCCACATTTTCTCAGGAACCAAACAGAGCTCATATAATAAATAAATTACAGTATAAAGTGTGTGTGTGTGTGTGAGGGGGAGAGAAAGAGTTGTACCAATATTGGTGTCTCTGTAATCTTCAAGGAACCGAAGAGGATCGAACTGTGGAAGATCACAATGGTTGGGCTTCCAACGCCACTTGACAATATCAATTCCATTAGATTTGTTACTGCCAATGCAATTCCAGCCTCTGTATATCTCCTTACACGCCTTGTCGTACCGTGGAGATCTAACCGTCGGATCGTAGATCCACTTTCCATCGGAGTAATCGCACGGCGAGTTTGAGACGCCATTCTTTATCTCGGCGGTTTCGCTGCGTTCGGATTCGAAGTTCCGGTGCTGGTCGGGTCGAGGAGGAGAGAGAGAGGTTTTGAATAGAGAGAAAGCGAGGAAGAGAGATGCGAAACAGAGGATAGAGAGAAAGAGGCAGCAAAAGGAGGAGAGAGAATATGTTGTTTTCTTTGAATGGTGGTGTTCTTTTGCGGCCATGGAGGGTACCGAGTATCAGACCCGGCGCACAATAGCGCCACCCCACTTTTATGGGGGTGTTTTTGATTAAAATGGAGTGATTTTGTTAAATACAACAATGTCACATTTCATTTGGTTCAACTCTCTGTGTGTCCAGAGGAGCCGGCCTATCCTTTGGGAGAGCCTTTTAAGGAAAAATGGGGAAAATCATATATTACCTGTTACAACTTGATCCAATTGCACCTAATATCTCTCTTCTAAGAATATTATATTACGATAGAGAATGAATCGTCCCTCACGCTCACGATGAGGGATATGAATAGATTAATTCAAATTAAAGCCTGAACAACCACCGATTTAAAACTTTTAACACACCAAACTTATCAAATTCAAAATTATTTTTTCATTTTAGTGTTTGAACCCTTTTTACCAACCAAAACACCTCGACTGAAATAGTACTATACGGGTTTATCCCACATCGGATAGTCTTAGACTGTATGTGCGGAATATATAGACGATACGTCATTTCTGCTTTTTAAATAGAAGTGTTGTAGTTATTCTTTGATCAAAAAAAAAAATAGTGCTATACAATAAATTGATTAACACTCAATCTCTCCGCGACGATTTCTACAAAAATCAATATTCACAAAATCCTAGAATGAATAATTAAACCAATATTCACAAAACCAATATTCGCGACGATCTCGAACTCTCCATAGCGATGTTCCAAGACTCGAAAAACATAATTTAAAAAAGAATTAATTATAAATTACACCTCAAAAGATCGTTTGAATCTCAATTTGCTCCCTCAAAGATAAAAATTTGTATCAATGTGCACCCTCAAAGATCAAAAATCTCAATTTGTACCCTGAAAGATAGAAATTTATATCAATGTGCACCTAAAACTAATCGTCGCCAGTTTGCTGCCTAAAACTAAATTGATAAATTATACATACATCCTCTCATGTTTGTCACTTAATCATTTAGACTTCTTCACATTTAGAATATTACACCTACATCTCACAACGTTTGTGCAAGTGTAACACGTAATCCCTTTTCGTTAATATCTGTTAATATAACCGTTAAAAAATATGATTTTATCCTAATAAAAAATTATAATTTCATATTAACCTTTATTTTGTAGGTATTCAAATGGTAAGCGTATTCAAATGATAAACTTAATTTTGAACTTTAGATTATATCGAACCTATAAAATAAAAGGTAATATGAAATTATAATTTTTTATTAGAATAAAAACATATTTTTTAACGATAATATTAACAGATATCAACAAAAAAGAGATTACTTGTTACACATGCACAAATGTCGTGAAATGTTTGAGTAATATTCTAAATGTGAAAGAGTTCAAATGATTAAGTGACAAATATGAGAAAATCTAGGTATAATTTATCAATTTAATTTTAGACAGCAAACTAACAACGATTAGTTTTAAGTGCACATTGATACAAATTTTTATCTTTGAGGATGTAAATTAAAATTTTTAATCTTTGAGGTGCACGTTAATACAAATTTTTATCTTTGAAGGTACAAATTGAGATTTTTAATCTTTAGGGATACAAATTAAAATTTGAACGATCTTTTAAGGGTGCTTACAATAACCCTTAAAAAAATTCCTAAATGATGTCAGCACGCTGATCATCCCATCTGTTCACTCATTTTCCTCAGGAATATTTATATAAAAGACAGCTCAGTGAGTAATATTTATAACAAATACATAGCTTAAAACGAATACATTTTACAGGAGGCAATGTAGTTTCCACCAAAATAATTTAATTGTGGGGAGTTGAGATGCTTGTTGTCACCTGTTTCGCCACAAACCTGTACGATAGTCCTATTTTTAATGGTATGATCTGAGATGGAAAACTTGGCAGGCTGGCTTGTATGCCCTCTTGGCTGCAGCCTGCTCAAACTTCTTCGTGGCAGCTTCATTCTCTTCTAAACTGGTCTGAACAAAAAGCCTTATCCACCAAGACGAGCTACGCAATTTGGCCTTCACAAGAAACACATACCAAGCTGGTTAGAACCAAACCAAAGTGTACTTCTCAAAAAAGAATTACAGAAGACTGCTGCCCAGCCCCTCATTAGACAGGCAACAAGGGCTGCAAGAACAAAAAAAATACCTGAATGTGGCAGAAGCTACCATTTCGTAGAGCATTTCATGTCTATTAAGAGTTTTATACCCCCTCAAGAATCATATGTACCCAAACTTACACTTTCACCATTTAGCAGAGCTTTTCCAAATATGCGTTATGCTTAAATTTGTAACGAGAAAGGGTATATGGTAATTACAGATCTATATAATTAAATTTTTGTGTCCATGATATAATTTTTGGTGCTTTGTTCTTTTCATTTTCCTTTTTTTTTTTTGCTAGGTAATAATAGGTTGATAGGTGACAAATAGCGATTAATCTGCTAAACTTCCACCCAGGTCCTTCATATGACGTTTAAAACACTTCTTGATACCAACAACTAAAAAAAAAACAAAAGCGAGAGACAATTTTGTTTATAAGCAAAAGACGAGAAATTCAGAATCTTGAACAAACATCGCTTTAACAAAAAACACGAGATCAATGGGAATTTATGCATTGGAAGTTTAAAAGCTTCAACATGAATTTCTTCCAAACAGAATTTAATGGAATCAATTCGAAAATAAATAACAAAGAGATAACTGATTCTGTTTAACCAATTTGGACTGTAATGCTGTTCAATAGTTAAGCAGCAAAGCAGATGGTCTAAGTCAATAAACAAAAGCTTCAAGACACTTCATTATAATCTATCAACTACATATTGTTAAAATCATCTGCAGATAAATAAAACAGACCAAAGATAACTGAACAACATCCAATAAAGATAGATTACTCACTGGACGGCCAAATTTGGATAGCTCAGCCACTTTAGCTCTATGCTGACCTGGATACCCTAAACATGAAAATAACATGTCAGCAAAACTCCACATAACACGTCTTTGCTATACATTCAAGAACCATCAACTAACGAAACTTTTTGATGATACACAAGTAAAACTTGATAAATATGCAACCAATTCATGTCATTGACAAACATCATAAAGCAAGTCATGGTCCCAATAGGTTAGGGTCTAGTTTTTGTCATAAAATCAGAACAAATATATAATGTTAAAAAAAAACATAAAACCAGCTATTAAGGGATTTACCAGAAAAGACAACAAAACCTTCTGCAGATACCCTTGCCAATTCTGGAAGAGTCTTGTTAAGATACTTTGGGGACAAGTAATCTAAAGCATCAGACACTATGACAAGAGAAAATGACTTTGCCCGGTAGGGAAGAGGAAACTTGATATCAGCCACGCGCACAATGCCTTTGTGCACAAGTCTCTTGCAGCTACTGTCAGCATCATCTAACTCATATGGCTCCACACCCCAGGCCTCAGTATCCTCCTCTTTTAATAACTTAGAGACCACTGAGCAGGTATCAAGGCCTACATGCAATACTTTACGCATACTATCACCATATACTTTCTTCAGAATGGGTAATGCTCTCTGAACTTCTAATCCGCATGAAACACCACCTGCATACATACTTTAGATCTTTAGGTTGAAAATGTTGCTCCATCTGACAAGTTGTTTACCTATAGTAAAGTTATATAAAAAATTGGCACCACATAAGAATTCCTAAAACAAGGATTCAGTAGTGCTTAACATCTGCAATCATCAGGGATCGATCATACTCTTTATCACTCCTCAAGGTATTAAATCAAACTAAGAAGCAGGGAATGCCTGGTATTTGCCCTAACTCAATAAGATTACATCTTTTTAAACAATATGATAGGCATTTCCAAATATCAAATCCGATCGATGAGACTTTCAGTGAAATTGCTACTCTTCGAAAGAACTTCAGGAGTCAAAAAATTTAATCAAGAGAAAAGTGCAATAACAGTTTGACTTACCAACTCACCCAGCCCAAAATGCGGGGAAAAATCAACTTAGTTGGTTCACTTTAAATGCATCATGAAGACCAAGAAAATGGAAGCCCCCAGTGTTGATGATGAGGAAAGGGAAAAAGAAATAAATTTCTATCCAGGATGATATGGGATAAGATATGTAAGTGATGATCAAGAGACAAGCAACAATAATGATTCCAAAATAATTACAGTGGCAGAAAGGAAGAAACATAAACAATGCATATCGGATCTCTGGAACTTCCTTTAATCCAATTTCTTGCAGCTAAAGACAATGCTCGGCTACTGAATAAAAGGAATGAGATAAGTTTTTGTAGTCATAACATCCAGCCGAAATTAAATCTTTCATCCAGATATAGAGCAGTGTATAAAAAGATGGATAAATTCAACTTCTAATTTGTAATATGAAGAATCAATTAAGCAAATTGTTAAAATATTCTGCTTGTACACACACAGTGACTCGTACCAAAATTTTCCTCATCAATCAAATTAGTTATGTGGAATGGTACAAGAAGCAAGATATAGATAGTTTCATTTAATTATCACAGATTGTTTACCTTCAAGCCTACTTAAAGCCTCTGCATTGCTTCCACCTGCAGTGGTAAGACTCGATGTTTAGAACACATAGCAGGAAAAATAAACCTCATAAGTTAAGCACAAAAAAGTAGTATATCAGTTACAATTGAAATTAGATACAACAGATCCCTCCACCACACTTTCTGTTTCATGACTAGCACAAATCAACCCATAAGACAATAAAGAATAAAAAATAGCTCCCGATTCTTTTTAATTAACTGGTATTTCAAGCTAACTGACCAAATACAAACCTGAACCTCTATACACATAGCCAATTATCAGGATCGCACCCTGAAAATTTCACAACAGTAGAACTCATTTCAGCATTTTTATCTACTAAATCGGAAGCCATAACTGTAATTCTGTTTAATAATCCACCATATATGCTCCATAACCCCCCAAAAGTGCAAATTGTTCTACCATGATTTGATGACAGAAACAGAGAAAAAGTATGAGAAACGGCTTGAACATGAATTGAGATATACCACAACCAGAAGTCCAAGAGATAAAAGCGGTGATGGACGAGATTTGGGGTGCAATGAGCCCACAAATGAAATGCTTCCGCCATCAGCAATGCGTCGAGACGTGTTTGGCCTCCTTGACAACATAATTCTCTACTTATAGTAGTAAACCTGCAAGACCTAGCATTAATTGAAATGAAAATTTGAAACCTAAACTTTTCATAAACAGGGACATGATTTCCTACTTATAGTTATAAACCTGCAATACCTAGCACTAATTGAAATCAACAATTGAGATCAAAATAAAGCCTAATTTGAGCAGGACCTGTTATGAACCCAACCGTTGATCCAAAAGCCCCAGGACTTGTGGGTGATTAAAACTGATAACTATTTAAATTTAACATTCCACCACGCTCAGAGCCGACAGCCTACTCTATCGACACTAGCCCAATGGTAGACCTTTCACTTTGGCGGCTCCACTCAACTATATGTATTCAACACGATAGCACTATGCCCATAAATAATACTAAGACATTTTAATCCACTCAACTCGAACTCGTGACATTGATTTGATACAACTCATCAGTTGATCCAAAAGCCCCAGGACCTGTGGGGGTTAAAGCTGAACTTTACATTCTAAGTTTCTAGTTATAGTTATGTCCCTGCAACACTTAGCACTAATTGAAATCAACAACTGAGATTAAAATTTAGCATGATTTGAAGAGGGACTTCAGTTCCTAGTTATAGTTACAAACCTGCAAGAACTAGCATTAATTGAAAGAAAAAAAATAAGATTAAAATTAACATAATTTGAACAAGGGACCTGAAATCCAAGGAGTAGAGAACTAACTACCTGAGATGTGGGATTTGAGAAGTTGAATGGGAGAACTTGATGTGAGATCTAGATCTGTTCGCTCGCGTTTACTCTCAGCTCAGTGTCGGAAGAGAGAGACTGCTCTGATAAATGCTGCTACTTTATTCCGTGTGTGTCTGTAAATCTCTCTCTCTCTCTCTCTCTCTCTCTCTCTCTCTCTCTCTCTCTCTTCCCTGGTTTAATCTCACTTTACACCCGGATGAAACGTTGATTCTCAATTTATACCCTTAATTTTATAAATTGATAATAACGTGGACTTGATTTAGACTGTTGGTCATCGTTCCGTCATAGATTGAAATACGGGAGTTGTAAGTGCTTCAGACATGGGCTTATATTTAAATTCACATATTATTAATGTCTCATGTGAGTTGTACATAACAAGGTTAGTCTCTATCTGATTAATAAAATTTTATTTTTAATACATAAAACCCTATTAAATTGATCGAAAATGAAGATCTGCAACAATGAATAAATTTTATCCTCATATCTAAAGCACTTACACCTCACGTGTTTTAATTTATTATGAAAAATTGAACACCAATCTAAGTCAAGTCCATATTGTTACTAAATCATAATATTAAGGGTATAAATTAAAATTTTTAATATTTGAATGTATAAATTAAAAATTAAAATATCTTTTAGAGTACAAAGTGAGATTAAATCTTAATATTTATTCAAATTTCAACTCGCACTTACGGTAATCTATTTTTCGGTTGGTAGCTCTCGTCTTCTTTGGGTTGTTTGGATGTTTTTTGGGTAGAGGTTTGAATTAGATTCTTTAAACTCTTCAAAATCTAAACTGTTTTTTTATAAATATAAGATTCAACGTTCAATCTTATCAATATATATATTTGGTATGTTCACAGATATATTATTATGATAATATATTTATATATAAATAATTATTTTGTTCCTTCATTAATTTATCTAAACCCATAATTATATACATATATTTTCTTATGTTATTATGATTTTTATATTTGATTATTTTTACTGTAAAACTTATGAAAAAAAATATTAATGTTGATAAAATATAATATTATTCAAAATCATAATAAAACTGAAGGGGTTAAACCTCATGATTACATGTGACATAGCATTAAATGTGCTCATGTGATGTTGATAAGACCAACCACGTGATAAAGGATCTTCGACTAAGAGCTTTCTAATCGAGCCGAATTCATCAGCCCGTTCAAATAAACAGGGTAAGAGCTCGGCTTGTACCAAGCCAAGTCCGTTAAAGTGTCCGACAAAGCAATCGAAGAAATCAGTTTGTACCAAACTAAGTTTCTTGATCTATTCAGAAAAAGTCAAATGTGCTCGGCGTTTGATATGTCCGAGTTGTTCAAAACGATAGATGGAAAGTTAAATATTCGTCTAAAATCTTGGCAATCAAATAAACGAAATCGATGAGATTGAAGATATGAAGAGAAATTGTTAGAGAAGTATCAGTAACTTCCAAAACTTAACCATTGAATTAAAGGAATGTGTGTCATCTTGAACCTAAAATCGAGGAAACCCTAAGGGGATAATGATCTATAAAAACCACAAGAGACCAAGGTGAAAGGTACACTGAATTCTCCTTATCTTGGTGCAATTTTCTCTGTTCCATTACTGACTTAAGCATCGGAGTGCCTTCGATCGAAACACTTTGATCTTGGGCAGTTTGTTCATTTTGCAGGAAAGAGATTTGAAGATTGTTCAGTATTCTTTTCCAGAAATCACATCGCAAATTCACCATCAGAGGTATCTCTGATTTTTTGCCTCTACATTTTGGTGCCGTCTATGGGAATTCAATTCTCAACTTTCAGAACAAAAAGCTACGATGTCAAGACCGAGGAGTGCAATTGGTTCACCCGTAGGCAGTTTTGCTTTGGGAAATTCTGATCCTACGCCTCTTCCTTCTGATAGCAACGCAAGGTTACATGCAGTCAGAAGTCCCTCCAGAATCCACGAGGATGACGAAATATCCTCTGCGAGTTTCAAGCCATCTAAAAATCAGAGCCACCAAATTGAGAATCATGGTAAATCCCTCAGTACCGAGGGGGATAATCACTCCTTGGCAAAGTTGGTCCAGTCCCTGCAGGATCAACTTGATGCCCATGATAAGCTGTTCAAGAAATTCTACGCCAGGGAGAAAGATTTGATCAAAGAAAACGAAGAATTAAGAGCCAAGTTGAAAGAGATAACCAGAAAGGAGACTCGGGCGAGAGAGGATCGACATCAAAGCCTAGGAAGGAAGCCTGGCAAAATTAGGATTATTGATGAAGAAGTGTATCGACAGAAGAAACGTCGGATCTAGGAGGAGGACACTTAGAAGCAGTATATCAACGAATAGCTCAACAATCATTTGAAGAGACCTGAGTAGAGGTCAGCTAGGGATCTAGTTAGAAGAGCAACAAAAGAGTACGGAGACGGATTAGAGTCATCCCCATTTACTGCATGGGTAAAAAAAAAAAAGCACGAATCCCGAGCAAGTTCACCGTTCCGAACTTCAAGCTGTACGACAAAAAAACTGACCCAGCCTCACATATCAGACACTTTCGACAACTCATGACCATTCACCGAAGAAACGAGCCCTTGCTTTGCACTATTTTCCCTAGCAGTCTTTGGGAGTCAGCCATAAAATGGTTTGACAGCCTACCAAAGGGAACAATTGATAGGTGGTTTCAGTTGGCCGAGCTATTCACGGCTCGGTTCATCACCAGCAGTAAACAACCAAAGGACGTTGGGGCTCTACTAACATTGAAAAAAAGGAATAACAAAAGCTTACGCGAGTATGCCCATCGCTATTGGGAAACTATGAATGAAGTTGAAGGGTGCAATCCAGAGATTGCAGTTGCGTTTTTCAAGATCGGGTTACCAAAAGAAAATCCTTTATACCAATCCCTCACGAGAAGACCTGTTACTGACCTGGAAGAATTGATGGCACGGATTGAAAAGTACGCCAAGGTTGATGATGACTTACCCAGGGAGGTGGTTAAGGAGCATCCGAGCAGAAAATAGTTCGATAGAGACAAGCAAACTGAGCCAAACAGAGAAGGGGGAAGGAAGTTTGAGAAAGAAGGATACCCCCAAAAGTCCCCTTTTTTTGGGTTAAATACACTATTTAAATAATCGATATACAAGGTGCTGAATCAGATCAAGGGAAAACCGTTCTTCAAATGGCCAAACAAACTAATGGGCGATCCCTCCAAAAGAAATCTAAACTTTAGGTGTTCCTATCACAGGGATTTTGCCCACATGACTGAGAACTGCCAATCTATCAAGCAACATTTGGAGGAGCTGGTCCAGGCAGGACATCTGGCAGAATTTGTTGAAAGTAGGCAAAAAACTGAAGAGGGAAGAACCAAGCAGAAAGGGGACCAAAACACACCGATTGGAGTAATTGATGTGATATATGTTGCTACCAACCGTCATATGTCCACAAACAACTCTGCTCAGGCTTACATTCAGAAAACAACCAAGGAAAGAGAAGTATACGAGCTGAGAATGACCCTGAAAGTCACCAGCAAAAAGAATCCAGATAGAGGAAAGAGCCGAAGCAATTTGTTTCACCGAGAAGGACTTGGTTGATGTACACCAGCCGCACAATGATGCCATAGTCATCACGCTTCGGATTGCAAATTTTAACGTAAGAAGGGTCCTGATCGACCTAGGGAGCTCATCAGAGATCATGTATTTGGATCTACTTGAAAAGATCGGTCTCAAGAAGGAGGACCTCGAGCCCTCAAATACGCCACTTATTGGTTTTAGTGGTAAAATAATTTTTCCTAAGGGGAAGATCATCTTGCCTGTAAAAACGGGACCAATGTACATCATCATGACCGAGTTCCTGGTAGTGGATACGGTCTCAGCTTACAACGCAATAATGGGATGCACTTGGCTGCACGAGATGAAGGCGGTACCATCAACTTACCATCAAATGCTAAGGTTCCCATCGTCTGATGGAATGGTCAATATCCGAGGAGACTAGGTCTGCTCCAAAACTTGCTTGTTGGCTTTTGTTAAACCCAAAGATAAGGTAGAGTCCCGAGAAAATAGCTCTCGGAGAGACACGATAAATAGCAATCAATATTTGACAGCTCGATCAACACTAAGGACCAAGCTGTCAAAAGAAGCCCTAAAGTACCTTTAGGCGAAGAAAATGAGGCGATAGATCGAACAGTAGAGAACTTGACTAGAGTACCTCTAGACAAGGATGGTGATTTAGAAAAATATTTTTTGTTAGGAGCTGCTCTTAACACCGAACAGAAGGCGGAGCTGGTCGCCATACTACAAGAATATGCCGATGTGTTTGCATGGAATACCACTGACATGCCCGGCATATCACCCGAAGTGACCTGTCATCATTTAAATGTCGATCCAAGCTTCAAATCAGTCAGGCAAAAACTCAGAAGATCGGCGATACAGCATAAGGAGGCAGTAAAAAAGGAAGTGACACGCTTGCTAGAGTCTCAAACCATTAAGGAAGTAAAATACCTGACCTGGCTATCAAACACTGTTGTGGTAAAGAAGAAAAATGGAAAGTGGAGAGTCTGTGTTGACTTCACTGACCTAAATAAAAGCATGTCCAAAAGACTGTTTCCCCCTGTCGAAGATAGATTAGTTGGTAGATGCAACAGTTGGGCACGAGCAGTTGAGTTTCTTGGATGCTTACAGGGGATATCATCAGATCCCCCTTGCCGAGGAAGATCAAGAAAAGACTGTCTTCATAACATCAAAAGGAATGTACTATTATAGGGTAATGCCCTTCGAATTGAAGAATGTTGGAGTGACATATCAAAAGTTAGTAACCAAAATATTTTCACATATGATTGGTAGTACTGTTGAAGTTTACATTGACAATATGGTAGTTAAAAGTTGAAAGGCCACAAATCATTGTGCCGACCTAAGGCAGACATTCAACATTCTACAAAAATACAAGATGAAGTTAAATGCGTCTAAGTGTGCTTTCGGGGTCGGCTCGGGAAAATTTCTGGGATTTCTGGTTATTCACCATAGAATAGAAGTAAACCCTGACCAAGTAAAGGCTTTAGCAGAACTACAGTCACCTCCGACAATGAAGGAGGTGCAGAGATTGATAGGAATGGCAGCAGTACTTGGGAGATTCATATCCAGAGCGTCTGATAAGTGCAGACCCTTCTTTCAA